TGTGACTCCAACATTTTGTCAACAGAAGGTGTTTTCAGTTTAAAAATATGGCACAAGAGGCGGCGGGTGATTTGCATTCCTCACATGAGAGCTGGATCTTTGAGTTAAAGGGTTTTAAACTCGTTTGGCGTGTTTTCAGTGTTCGGTCAGTTTTCTGATTCAGACTGCTGATTTAAGGAGAGATCCATAATTAAAACGATAAAAAWAAAGTTGGTTTTGACGTCACTGACTCTTGTGTCTGCTGAGCGTCGTCCTCTGTTGGTGTGTTGAGCTGCTGACACAGAAGTGAGTGTTTGTTACGAACCTGCAGCTGCACTATTCCTGAACACCCCCCAATCATCTTCATCTCTTTGCTTTCACCCTCTTTCATGTTGTCCCTGTGTCTTTGATTCCTCACTTCCCTGCATTTTCTCTCATTCGACTAGTTTTAATTTCAGCAGCCCCTGCCCACTGCCGTCCCCAGACTCTTCGCTGTGTTTTAGTGCAGTTAAGGCCGACTGACAGAGTGACAGCTGCAGTAATGAGAATTGGCTAAACCTCACCACCTTCTCCCTGTTAATGCTGAAGGACGCCCTGTGCCTGTTTTGCTCACATGATCCCTCCTTTTAGTCACGGCGTTTCAATTACAGCCACCTTCTAAGCTTTTATGAGAGTGGAAAGACAATTATTTYGTGTGGTGATTTAGTAATGACACCCCCCATAATTAAGTGCCTATCACTTTACAAGGCTTTAATAAAGATTCGAAATTTTCAATAGACCGCCTGCCCTTCAGCTTTAAATTATATGTTTGTTGTGTTAATTTAAATCTAGTTGTGTTGATTCAGCATTCACTCTGTTGTTTCCTCCATCTTTTTTTTTTCTGGATACTAGCTATCCTTTAGCTACTTTTGGATTTTAGCTTTTTTCTTGCTACTTTAGCTATCCTTTTGATACTTTTGCTTTTAGTTAGCTTTCTGATTTTTAAATTATAGCTAGACTTTGAATACTTTTAGCATGCCTATTGCTACTTTTATCATTCGGCTATCCGTGATGCATTTAACTTCTAGCTAGCCTTTTGCTACTTTCGAATTTTAGCTTGTCTCTTGCTACTTTCACTTTTTTATCAAGGCTTTTGGTACTTTTAGCATTTAGCTATCCCTATGATTTGTTTTAGCTTTTTAGTTAGTCTTTTTTACTTAAAGCTAGATTTTTGTTACTTTGGTTACTTTTGGCTTTTAACTACCGTCATGCTGCTTTTAGCAGCCTTTTTGAAACTTTTGTTTTCAGTTTGCTTTCTGAATTTTAGATTATAACTAGACTATTGATAACTAGCATTTTGAGATTTTTATCATTTTGTCTTTTGATATTTTTAGGTTTTTACCTAGCTTTTTGCTGCTTTTAGCATTTAGCTATCCCTTTGATTGTTTTAGCTTTTAGTTAGAATTTTTACCTATAGCCTTTGGCTTTTATTTGGCAATGCTTAGTTTATATTTTAGCTATTCTTTTGTTACTTTTAGCTTTTCCTGCTCTTTTGTTACATTAGCTTTTTAGCATGCCTGTTGCTACTTTTAGCATTTAGCTAGCCTTTTTGATCTTTATAGCTTCTGGCTAGCCTTTTGAAACTTAGTTCTAGCGTTTTTTGACATATTTGGCATTCATCTAGTGCTTTAAAATATTTGGCTTTTAGGTAACCTTTTGCTGCTTTTGGCTTCTAACTGGCTTTAGCAGGTGTTTTGCTCATCCATCAGAGTGACACAGCTTCCTTTTAGATGGCTAAAAAAATCCGGACCGTTGATCCTGAATGCCGCTCTGCTCACGTCCGGTGGGGCTGTTTGTTGTCGTGGTTTGAAGCGTTAGAAAATCAGTGTTTTTTCTCCCCTCCTTCTCTTGTCTGCGGCGCTCTGACCATGCTGTCAGTGCGGGTCTGTCAGCCTGACGAGCAGACGCCACTCTGCATCACAACATGCTGTCAAGGACGTGGGAGGAGGTGTGTCTTGACTGTCAGTGTGTGCGTTTGTGTCTGTTCGTTCAGCTAGAAGGCTGTTGTGCTGACATCAACCACTGCATCCTGTTACATCATTTCGCTCAAGGATTGCCCCGTTCTCACCCCCAAAAATAATAAACCTAATGTAAGAATTCACTGTCTGATATGAATAACTTTGTGTTTAGCCCCCTTGGTTTGTTTTTATGGAAATGTCTGGACGTTTCTTTTCCTCATGCTCTCACCTCGGCAAGCACAGATTCCAGATGAAAGCAGGTTCACCTCTTCAAGGACATACATGCTCATATTTTCACCATCGTTGAAGAGTGATGTATGAAATGACAGATTTATTTACTAATTTTTGAGTGGGAAAGAGTCTAAAAGGATTGTGACAGATATACCAGCCAAACTTCCTGAGGCTTTAAATTGACAAAATTGCAGCTTGTTTCCTTTAATCAACGCAAATTATTTGACCTTTTCAGTTTTCCTGCTTCAGCATCCGTCAAGGCAATTTCTGCTGATTTAAGTAAACATGAGGATGTTAAAGATCTAAACTAACAGTCTGGCAGTCTTTAACAGAATGCATATTACCTGCCACATTTCATGTCAAACATTAAGATTATATACTGACAACGGGTGGAGTTGTAGACCTTAAATGATGTCATCTCATGTGAGATTGATCCTGTGAGATGTGTTGGTGCTCAGAGAATGTGTTGAGGGTGACTCTCAGCTACTACAAGTCCCAGTTTACAGTACACTATTTTTAAATACTACTGTAGCATTTCTGCTGCATTTGGCAACTGCACTCATTTTCTTGAACCTCAAAGCTTTTTAAACCAAGTCCGTCCGTCCGTTTTCTGCTGCTTATCCGGGGTCGGGTCGCTGGGGCAGCAGCCTAAGCAGAGAGAACCAGACTTCCCTCTCCCCAGCCACTTGGGCCAGCTTGTCTGGGGGAATCCCAAGGCGTTCYCAGGCCAGGCGAGAAACATAGTCCCTCCAGCGTGTCCTGGGTCTTCCTCTGGGCCTCCTCCCTGTGGGACATGCCCGGAACACCTCACCAGGGAGGCGTCCAGGAGGCATCCTACCCAGATGCCCGAGCCACCTCAACTGGCTCCTCTCAACGTGGAGGAGCAGCGGCTCTATGAGTCCCTCCCAGATGACTGAGCTTCTCTCCCTATCTCTAAGGGAGAGCCCAGACACCCTGCGAAGGAAACTCATTTCAGCCACTTGTGTCTGCACTCTCGTTCGTTCGGTCACTACCCAAAGTTTGTGACCATAGATGAGGGTAGGAACGTAGACTGACCTGTAAACCGAGAGCTTTGCCTTCTGGCTCAGCTCTCGCTTCACCACGACAGACCGGTACAGCGCCCGTATCACTGCAGATGCAGCACCAATCCGCTTGTTGATCTCCCGCTTCATTCTTCCCTCATTCGTGAACAAGACCCCGAGATACTTGAACTCCTCCACTTGGGGCAGGACCTCCTCCCCGACCCGGAGACAGCACGCTACCGGTTTTCAGCTCAAGACCATTGTCTCGGATTTGGAGGCCAAACCAAGGTCTCCGAGTAGAATTTTTTTAGAAACATCAGTGTGAAATTGCATGTACTCACTACGGACAGCTGCAGTCAGTAGTTTTACTGCACTTGCGCAAGTAGATGAACAACAGTAACCCTCAATTTACACTGCGTCCTCTCCGCAGTAAAACCGCACCCATTATAATCAATGGGCCTCATGCAGGAACATGTTYGTATTCTTATCCTAAATTTCTCTTACTTTTGTTCGTATGAAGGGTTCGTACGAACATGTCACGTCAGATTCAGCAAACTCTTCTATCTTCCTGAAAAGGGTGTAAATGAGCTGCGTAAATTCCACCTGTTCGTATCCAGCTGCTCGTGCATGCGAGAGG